TCACAGCAGAATGTAAGGAGCCCTAGAGAACAGGTTTCACCACTCCACTTTTCTTCCCCCATGGGTGAAGGGATGGTTCACAAAGCACGCATACGGGTTAGAGTGTTCTAGTAGAGTCTCACCCATCAAGACAGCAGCATGTACACACAGGCCAGGCATTCTTTTCACTCATGGTGACTTTCATGGTGATTTTTTTTTTTTCTCATTTTCCCCATAATTCACCCTTGTGTTGTGGCTGAATTGGAAGCCAGTGCCATTTCAAAGGGAGACTTATAAATTTTTCAGGTGTAAATAACAAACAAACAAATAAACAAATAGATGTGTATGATAGCCTTCAGCAAACAAAAAAGGTTAATTTGCTCAGGTCTGACATCTGACTTCAGGTACCGCCAGCTTGATCTAGGACTCAAAAGACATCTCCAGAATCTACCACATGTTCTCTTCCTCAGATTTGGCTCCATTCTAGGATTCTATCTCATGGCCCCCAACAAATCCAAGCTCTTTCCCTTGAGGCTGTAGCACTTCTAAGATTCTCTCAATACCAGAAGAATCTTACTCTCATCATTTCAAAATAAAATTCCTGAGATTTACTCTCATTGGATCCTTTTTATCTTTCTAATTGGATCCTTTCAAATCACTTGCTCATCCATAACCAATTAGTATGACTAGGGAGAGGGCTATCTTGATTTGTTCAGGCCAATCAGGATCTACCCTTGAAAACACAAGTTTGAAGACCAGCATTCTGGGCAGAAGTTGTTCTCCAAAAGAAATCTGAGATATTATTACCAAGAAGTAAGGGGGAAAATAACTGGTAGACCACACGGTGTCTGCTACAGAATTCCAAGTGTCCTTAGGCATAATTATACACATCAACCCCCTCAGCGCATCATCTAGTGGAACCCTAGCTTCAATTCAAAAATTTAGATGTGCATCTTGTCTCTTATTGTTGTTCCTGATTCATTCTGAGGTCAGTTAAATTCCTATATCCCTGATATCAACACTATTCTAGGCTATCTCTATTAAATGCTTATGTAAAGTTTGTAACTAGTAGTGATGAGATATCTTTCCATTTTGTAACCAACACTTTAAAATTTGTTAAAGGCACACGTATCTGGCTTAGAAAGAAATGTTTCAGAAACTCATTTAACATGTGCTCCCTGGACATGACTGCCTCACTGATTAAACGAATACCAGCAGGGAGACAGGTCACTGCACCGAGAACATTTAAATAGTGACTCACAGTCAATCCTCTCACTCTGTCTCCTGACACCGTAAAAATCCCTCAGCCAAAGGAACGAACTGGCATGAGCAAATTACAGGGCTATTTTCCTCTGAATGTTTCATCAACTGCTCATCAAAATTCTAGATCAAATCTAAGGAAGTTCATCTATTTATGGGGATAGCACATGATATCTAAACATGTTTGCTCACCTCTGCCTTTTCACATTTCATTAGAACTCACCAGCTTCAATTCATAAAGGAGATCTCACTTGAGACTAAATTAGTATGAAGCGTACCTTTAAATTACCAACAAATGCCTCCAGGTAAAATATGCATCTGAATGCAATATCAGAGAAGCCACATGTTTCCTACTCAATTTACTAATTGACATATCACACAACTCCTTTAATTCTATTCAGATAAATCTCAAGCCTAACAAGTGTCAGTAATGCCCAATTACAAGGAAGACAAGCTGGTACAGTAGAAAGAAAGTAGACTTTAACATCAGACACCTGAGCCTTCTGAATACTATGTCTATATTTTAAATGCTGGGGTGGGAAAGTTTTTCAACTTCTCTAAATATCAGTTTCCCCAACTACAAAATAATGATGATGAAAACATAATTCTTAAAGTGATTGTGAACATTAAATAGGTAATAAATAAAACAGACCTAGCTAGTTACTCAATGAAAGTTGGTTCCCTTGCAGTCCCCTCAAATGGGTACTTGCTGTCCTCAACAACAGTGATAAATCATGTTGATAGTACGTACCCTTGATATGATGTAATGAAAATGATACTTTACTTCTGCAGTATTCCTTCCAAAAACATATAACCCAAATTTAATCATGATAAAAGTAGCCCTCAAAAGTGGCAAGCTTATCAAAAACAGGGAAAGTCTGGGAAGTCATCACGATCTAGAGGAACCTAAGGAGACATGACCAAGAATGTGATGTGGTATCATGGATGGGATCCCAGAAAATTTTGTAAAAAGGCATTCAGTAAAAGCAAGGAAATATGAATAAAATATGGATTTTAGCCAATAATTATTTATCAATAATAGTTCATGCATTGTAATTAATGGATCATAATAATGTAAGGTGTTGATAATAAAGAAAATATGGGAAACCTCTATACTATCATCTCAATTTTTCTATAAATCTATAACTGTTTTAAAATAAAAAATGTATATAAAAGATGTATTTAAATAAAACACCTGCAATTTTGAAACAGGGATGTTAAGCAATTCTTCTGAAGTCACCTTCTTTCCCTACCTGTTTATTCCTTCTCCTTTCTCATTCTTTCCCCAAATTTAATTCCTGGGACTATTGCACCTTAGAAGCCGTAAGACTAAGATGTGAGTTTCCCGACGCCCATGGAGAAGGATCCATGAAGAAATGGCATGCGCAGTTCACACACAAAAAGCAGGGCATCAATTAGGGAGGATCGATTCCCAGCAAAGCTCTAAATAGTTACTATACCTTGTGCTGGGTACCATGATAGACACTTGACATAGATGACCTTGTTATATTTGTACTCATAGCAACCATATTGATGTAGATATTCATCTAAATTTGCACATGAGGCTTAGTTAATCATAATCCCATGGCTCACAGGAACCATAGTGAAGCTTCATACTTCAAAGGCCTCCACACTCTTAACCACTGCACATACTGCCTCCCAAGGTCACAGGATGATCACCTTGCCTTCAGTGACTCCCACTCCCATTTTTGTACCTCTCTGACTCTAGGTACCCAACAACACCTGATGCCCACCTGAAGCCATCCAGTTATGCCTCCTCTTTTATCCAGAAATAAAAATGAGAGCAAGGAAATGAGGTAAAAGAGAGAGGAGAAAGAAAAAGAGCTAAGATTTATTGAGGAGATATTATACATCAAGACACTTAGTAGGCACTTTACCCACATTCATTAATTAAACCCTCATGATATCCTCATAAGAACATAGTTTCCATTTTTAGGCTCATGGTTAGTGATTATACCTCATTGTCATGAGGGAAAAGTTCTTCCGCTGTTTTTTGTGGGGTATTTTTTATCACTTTCCAGAATATTCCATGTACACTGCTCAGTCCATCAGTACCTGCTTCCCTAGGCTTTCTCATCTCCTACTTCATCTTGCCCTAATCTCTCCAACATCTATACTATACTCAGAGAATGTGTCAATGGAGTTTTTGTTCCTCTATTTTTCTTTTTTTGTTCCCTCTGTTGTTCTCCTGGTCTTTGTCCAGCTAATTCTTCCTCAATATTGGATCTTCACTTACATGTCACTTTGGCAGAGAGGCCTTTCCCAACATCCCAGGATAACTGAGGCCACCTTATTACTCCTATGTAGAGCAGTTTGTTTTCTTTATCTGGAGCTAACACACTAAGTGTAGCTATATATGTGTTGATGAACTTATATATTTAATCTCTGTCCCCCATCTGGACTGCAAACTCCATGAAGAAAGAGACTATGCCTATTTTTTTCCATATGTGCCTAGCACAGTGCCTAGCACACAGTATGGCTCAATAAATATTTATTGAATAAAGTTTTTAAATTAGTAAATGGATATAAAACTAAAGGAAATTTTTCTCCTTTCTGAAATCTACCTTCATTTTGTTCAAGGTATACATCACTGTGTGCCTTATATTAAAGTGATTTATGCACATGTGTTATTTTCTTAACCAAACTTTAAGCTCTAAAGAGGAAAAGCTCTAGAATTTGTCTATGTATCCTCTATCTCACATACACACACTACAAAGAAAATACTATGTGGTAGGTGCCAAATAATGTCTTAAATAAATGAGGGGGAAAAAATGTTTCAAGTTAAGTGGAGAAAAGCTGACTATGGTTTCACATGTCTCTTTTCCCAAGAATATTTTAACTTTAAAAGAGAATTACTGAAGAGCTATGCCTGAAACCCACAAAAATGGCTCTTAATGATGGTATAAGAGTCATTAATAAAGAGAGCTAATGGGGTTTTACAGAGTTCAGAAACCGTACTTCACTTTTTTCCAATACCAAACCATGGACAGGCTCCTCCTATTGGCCTGAACATGAACTTGGCTCTGTTTGCAAAAACTGAAAATTACCATAAAAGTGTTTTTCACAACCTCCCACTTCCCTATTCTCCACTTCAGAATGTGATGATGCCAATAAATCCCACCATCTGTTCCCAGAGGGTAAGTGTCCTGATCATCATCTCTCAGCTGTCACTAGCAACTTCCTGGTTGAGTCATGACCCTGTCCCCTGTTCCATCTTGATGATGAAATCCTCATCTGATGTCCCTCCAGCAAGATTCAGAAGCATTTCCTATATCAAATAAACATGTATCTGATCATTTTAAATTAATTTCCAAGAAAAAAATGCAGGATTTAATTTAAAATGTAAGAGCATGTTTAGCTTGAATTCCTCTACAATCAGAGAATGAGCTCATTCACTCTGAATAGCACACTGGGAGACAGTCGAGTTGGTAAGTAACATCAGCCTGTCGTCAAGAGATACATGTGTTCAATTATGTGTTCAATTATCAGCGATGCCTTGCCCTCAGTAGAGCGTAAACTGAAGGTTGACCGATCTCTTCTCAGAGATCTGGTAGTTCCGTGACCAAAAGTGAGTTCTGCTCAACACAGTATGCAATGTCGTGCTCTCTCCTTGGTGCTATGGGAAGGCAGTCCTGTGTTAAATCATGGACCGGATAATCAATTCACAGGCATGCACTGAGCACCTTGATTGGTGATTTCTCACTGTGCGAGAGGGGCCCAGGATTGGCACTTACCTCTCTCTGACTCCCTGGTGAGGGTCTCAGGCCTGCTCTGCCAGTACACGTGGGTATGTGTGCTGAGAGTGGAAGGATGGTGTACGGAGGAAGAATTACACAGAAGCATGGGGCCGAGTGGGGACAGAGGGGACCTCTGACTTTCTTGAGATAGGTTGTTACCTTCTTCACTCAGCAGCAGGAAATAGCTTTAAGAAGAAAAGTAGAGAGAGAGGCTCTTCAGCACTTGAAGTATATTTATTCCACCAAAAAGCACCCCCCTGAGCCTACACCGTTAGCCCAGAGGTACTGAAGAGGCTGCACGTCAAAGTGAAAATGCAAAACAATTCACCGTCTCCAACAAAAACCCTGCCCCTTTCATGACATTTTATGCTGTATGCTTATAAATATAAATATTAATTTATAACACAAAATAGTAACTTCCACATGTGGATGTTTAGAGGGAATGTTACAATGAACATTTGTCATTTTTTGGATGGCTAGTATAGAAAAAGTTTTTCCTATTTGAGGGGAATCTCAAAGAGGTGGAATTCTAGCTCTTACTCCCTAAAAAAAAAAAACAAAACAAAAAACAAACACCGTGTTTCCCAGCTCTCTGGCAGCTGCAGCTTATGCGTCTGACATAGCATCAGCTAACAGACATTCCAAATGAGAATTTGAGACTCTGAACCTTGAAAGAGTAATACAAAATAATTCAGAGAAAATTGGGACCTCAATAAAATCCTAGCAAATAGAATCCACAATATATAAGAGGAATTGTACACCATAACCAAATAATTCGACACATGAAAATCAATGTAATACACCAAAATCAATAAAGGACAAAAGCCATATGATCATCTCAACAGATGGAGGAAGAAAAAACAAAACAAAACAAACAAAAACTAAACATTTCACAAAATCCAGTACCTTTTTATGATTAAAAAAAAAAAAAACACTCAACAAACTAGGAATAGAAGGAAACTGTCTCAAGCTGACAAATGGCATCTATGGAAAAACTAAGCTGCTATAATAATTAATTGTGAAAGACTTAATGCATTTCCCCTAAGAACAGGAACAAGATGAATATGTCCACTCTTGCCACTTCTATTTAATGTTGTATTGGGGGTTCTAGCCAGGATAGCTAAGAAAGAAAAAGGGGGGAAAAAGGGAACCAGATTGGAAAGGAACAAATAAAACTATCTCCATTTCCAGATAACATGCATATAGAAACTCCTAAGAAATCTACTAAAAATACAAATGAACTAATAAATGCATTCAGCAACTCTGCAAGGTACAAACAGGATCAATATACAAAAACCAAGTGAGTTTCTATATACTAGCAATAAACAATCTGAAAATTAAATTAAGGAAACAATTCATTTAAGATAGCATCATAAAAATAAAATACTTCAGAGCAAATTTAACAGAAGAAGTACAAAACATACACTTTAAAAACTACAGAAACATTGTAAAAAGCAATTAAAGAAAGAATTAGTGTTTACTCACAGCAGCTGGGGTGAAGTTGAGAGTCAAGAGCAGAGTGTCAAAGGATGAGGATGCTGGTGACAATAGGGACTGATGTCCTGGAGACCAGTGTCCAGTGGCCTCTCAATAAATTCCATTTAGTTAGAGCTGGTTTCTTTCTTTCTTTCTTTCTTTTTTTTTTTTTTTTTGTGACCAGGAACACTCACTGGTGTGGGTATTATTGCTGCTTGGTTTTTGTCCTCTTCTAATGATTTGCTTAGGAAAGGAGAAGTCCTTGTAATTCTTAGAATATACTTTTTTACCACTTTCTAAGTGCCATTGCTTTCTCAAGGTTTAGCTCATTTCTATAATAACCTTATAATCTTACAACTATAATAATAATAACCATATAAACTATATATATTATTAATCCTGTTTTTACATGTGAGAAAGCTGGGTAAAATAGGTTAAACGATTGTCTAAGAAAAGGTGGAGTATGGATGGAAATACAAATCTGCTAAGCATAGATCCCAGGCAGTTTCTACTATACTAGGTTTCTTCCTCAATCTTGTGTCCTCAAAGTACAGAAAGCATGTTAGCTTGCCTCTCCTTAAGGAAGATGCCACTGAGGTCAAGCAGACCCCACACTAAACAATAGAAAAGCTCAATGGTGGAGTAGTTACATGAATTACTTATATCCTGTTAATAGAATAGGGAGCAGTCGTTAACAGATTTTCCAAAAGTATTTAATGGCATGACAAAGTAACATGATATTAATTGGAAATTTTAGAATAAACACTGTCAGAAAAAAATCTAATTGTGTTATGTACAAACAGGTACATGCTTCTCTGTATGTTTGTCTTATATGTGTGCGTATATGTGTGCCAGAAGACATACATAAATACTATGTAAAGTGCTAGCCATTAATAACAGAAAGATAAGGAAAAGAATATAAATTTCGAGAATTAGAGGTAGCAGGAAATAGCTGATTATTATAAAGAAAACAAATTTAACTAGTCTTGGACCAGGAAGGAAAAGACTGGGCCCACAGCAATCCTACCATGCTGTACTTACAAAAGAAATTATCTCATGCTCAAATCCGTGAGAGAAAACTACACCTTTTCTTCCTTTGGTCGGTGTCATAGATACCGACCCTTTCTGAATTGCTTGGGGCTGTCACAGCTTTCCCAGGGCTGAGTCCTCCCATGTCTTTTTGAATGCTGACCTCTCCTGGCCACTTCTGCTACTGCAACTGCGAGTCTTCCAACATCGGCACACTTCATATCAAGGCAGCAGTCAACCTGTTCTCTTCACTGTCACAGATGAGCTGAAATGACCTGAGGTGCCTGAGAGGCTACCACTACTGGAGACCCACTGCCAGTAACCCCAAATCCCTTGGATGTCAGTCTTTCCATATGCAAATCCGAGTTCACAACGGTAGGAGTTCTCGCAAGTTCTCTCAAGAGTTCTCTCACCACCCAGCCCTGGGCACTGAAGATTGCTCTGTTGTACACACTTTTAGACTCAAGTCAATGAGTCTTTTCTCACTCTCATCTATGTTTCCTGGTTTCACACCTTCCTGCTTACACCTGTGTCCTCCCTCCGCCTAACTGAACAGTAAGACTCAATGGATAATTGTGAGTCTCCATGTTAGACAATAAAACAACTGAATTCGGCAGCAATACCAATTATGAGAGAAGGAAGCCTGGGCTCTCGGGGCACTGAAATTGCATCAGTCACTGCAGGGACCTTTCAGCAGAAGGGGCTCTGTCCTAATATCTGAAAAGAGGCTCCAGAGGTCTCCGGCTGTGGTTAAAAACAGAACCTTCGCTTTGGTCGGTTCTTATGGACCATCACTCCACTACTAAGCAATTTCACGGGTCATAAAATTGTTGTAGCCACTAATGACCAGCCAGCTCTTTTGCCAGACCAGTAAAATCACTTGATAAGGGCATTTGTCAGTCATTCAAGCAATATTTCCTCTTCATGCTGAGAGTAAATCGCTGGCTAGGATAGAATTATAAAGCAAAGCTTTAATGACGAAGGTTATCCAACTGGTAAAATGCATTTGATGCCATTTATATTATGGTTGTAGACTGATAAACAATTTTAGATGGATTATTTTGGGTGACACAGGATTTCAATAATAGCCTTGGATTTTTCTAAGGGCAGTTTCCTTAAAAAGCATATACACAAATTTGAGTGTTTCTGAGCATATTGGCGGTCAGTGTTTCTTCAGTTATTATATAGCTCATGAAATTATATACATTTGATACACTGGTCCCAGGAATAAGAAAGAGGGGAAGAGAGAAGTAGAGAAGAACCGAGCAATTATCACAATGAAGCAAGAGTGGGGGCTCTTTGAGCAAAAAGCTCTGAAACATTGCATTGCTAGTCTGCAGAGCCACAGTTGGTAGTAATGGCCTTGATCATAGTTTTCATTTTCAGTGAATCTTTGTATCCTGCCTATAGCACGTCTGCTTTCAATTTAAGTCTCGTTTATTTCAGGCCTTGGGCTTGTGGAGTGCTGCTAATAACGTGGTCAGATAATCTGAACAATCTGTCTTTGTTTTCCTGGGGTGCAATTTCTTTGCCTTTGCAAGGAGTCTTAAGAACTTCAGTTCATTAGAACGGCTTATTTCGCAAAAACATGAGATGGAGATAAATATAATTATAATCAAACAGGGAGTATTTAAGAACCTGAACTTGCTCTTGATATGTGAAGGATACAACAAAAGTATATATTAGTTAGAATGCTGTGGGAGCAAGGAACAGAATATTCAGTGAAACCAGTTTAATTGATAAGAATAAGAATTATTCTACCCCATAGCAGAAGCCCTGGAGCTAAGGCAGTGTAGGACGTAAGGTCTGTGTAGTTGCTCAACAACAGATTCAGAGACCCATGTTCCTGACCACTTTCTACTCTGCCATCCTTAGATTACTGGCTCTCATTTTTGGCTCTTCTCCTTGCTATGGCAAGATAGCCATCATACCTCCCAGCAACCACAGAAAGGCAAAGCAGAAAACGGGATTTTATTTTCCTGCTTTTTTTTTTTTTTTTAAATCAGGGGGTTAAATATTTCCCAGAAATCACAGAGCTGATTTCCATTCAGACCTCATTGGCTGAAATTGTATCCACTGCCCAAATCCTAGCTGCCAGAGATGTAACAGAGAGAGTATTTAGGCATTTTCAACCTCTACAGCAGGATGAGGATTCTGCTGGCAAGGAAACACAAAGGAGTTTGTAGGGTGTAGAAAGCTGCTGGATGAGCAGTCAACACAATCCACCATACAGCCATAAAGCTGGATAAGATAATTTTACTCTCAAAGAGCTCACGATTGACTGCTACTAATAACATCATTTTGTATGCTGATTGACCCTTCACAAAGCACTTTCAAATAAATTATCTCACTTATCTTCACATTACCTAGCAAAGTAAATTAAATTACACTTTCCATATTTTCAATGAAGAAAGTGAATCTCAGTATGGAAAAAGACTAGTCATATAACACATATTAAGCCTCCTTCAACTTTGCAAATGTAGTAATATACAAACTTAGAAATCATGGACATCAATTAGAACTGGAATGGATACGCTAAAACTAGAGACTGAGCCAGGGAAACCAGGCGCTGCACAGTCAGATCACTACCAAAGATTAGCTCATGGTCTGGGAGAAGAGGAAATTAGCAAACAAGAAAAATTAGCACCCAATAAATGTATAAATTCTAAGACAGGGGCCACAAATGCAAGATCAGCCAAGAAGTTTAATTCCACAGTATTTACTGGGCCTCTACTCTCTGTGCAAATTTTAGACTGTGGAGAAAATCAATGTGAATTAGACCTAGTCCCTACACTGTAAGAGCAGAGTCTGATACAATACAAATTAGTAAATGCTCCAATAGCATATGAAGCTCAATATTCCATGAGTGGAATAGGGAAAAATGGAAGAATATTGGCATGTTTTAGAGAGGAAGCAGCACCTTTGTGTAACATTGAAGAAACAATAGAGATCAGAACATGTATTATAGGTAGACACAACACTTATTAGCACAGAAATAATAGGAACTAGAGCATTTGGAAGAATAGAAAAGGGAACCTAAGAGAACAGGCAGACTAGACAGGTAGAAACTGATGAGTGAGAGAGGTTGGGGAATGGCATCTTGTGTGTGCCACCATAAACATCAGTTAATGTTCTTGAAAATAAGTGACCCAGACATACAGTCAAGCCCTCTGGCTGGGGGAGGCAATTCCATGGAACAAAATTTCAGGAACTAAAGAGACAGCCAAACAGGGAGTGGGGTATTTAACTATCCCTAACTCTGAGGTCCTGGGAGCTGATGCTGAGGAGTTGGATCACGCTGGATGGCATTCAACTCTGCCCTAGAGAATTCTGTCAATCCACTTAGATAATGACTCTCTCCCCTTGCATTTACTCTCTGAATAATGCCTCTGACTTTAGAGTTTGGGTCTCCCTTATGAAATAAAGTCTCTAACACAAGCTCAAAATATCATGAGTAAATCATCTTGATGTTTTGGGAAATCCTGGACCAAATATCAGGAATGCTAGACTCCCTTATTTTTGTCAGTCTTGTTGTTTTACTGATTGTTTCCATAAGGCAGAGAATAAAAGTTGCAGAACTCCAAAAGACAAATATCAGATCAAAGTGTGTTTCCAAAACAATTCCTTTTTATTTCCAACTCAAGGTATTATGAAAGAATAATCATATTTGGCTTGCACTGGTTTTCTGGTTTTTCGGTCCTCCATAAGTGAAGTATCTTGTACTTCCAAGGTCTGGGCAGTAAAGACCCTACCTATCCCAGGAGAGGTGGGCACAGATAAAGCCATCTGAAAGAAAGCTCCAAGGAGATGACCTGGCCACGGCTCACCTGAGGCAAGACCATCTCACCCCCTCTCCTATGACCAAGATGAATGACGACACTGGCATGCTATTGCCGCTTTTCCTTTCAAATTTAAAGCACTGAGAGGAGGCTTCTATTATTTAGTAGAAGAATGAATATTTATGCTGAAAAGCATTGAACTAACAATTCCAATCCCGAAACTCAATTTGAAATAAACATTAAGATTGGTGCTCATATTGAAACAACCTAAATGCTCATCCATTGAAGAGTTGTTACATAACCATAGTTCTGAAATGCCATGGACAATGAACAAGAATGGGGTAGATCCACACATGCTGACATAAGACATAATACATTTTTATAAAAAGCAATTCACAAAACCGTAATACAGAATTGTCCCACTTATAAAACATAAAAACATATATAAGTGATACACATATAACATTTTATAGTGAGCACATCTAGAGACTGGAATGAAGTAGAATTTTCACATTTTCTCTACACATTTCCATGTTGTTCGCATTTGATGGTGTATAATCACCTGTCTCCTGTGTGACTTCAGAAAGGTTCTGTGTCTATACGTAAGTGGTGGCATAGCAAGACTGACCCAGAAGGGCCACATCCAGGAGCCTGGCTTGGCTGAACTCAGATGGGAGAGGCTGAACTGGAGGATTAGGGAGAGGATGGAAGGGGAACAAGGGAGAATTTCCGAGGATGGACAAAAGACATTGAGGTGAGTGAATTCTTGCCCCAGTGCCAAGCAAAGACTGGCAGCAGTTTGTCTTAATCTACCTAGCCAGCTGAGAGTCTCAGATAGCTGAGGGGCTAATCATTATTTCACCACAACTGGGATGTGAAACTTTCAGGAAGTTATTTTGCCTTTCTAAGTGTCAGTTTTCTTATCTGTTAGGAAAGGGGAAAGGATCAACTAAGAGTAAATGTCACATACCTTGGTAAAGTTGAATTCAAGGGAGCTGTGCTTATTCATTTCAGCTCTGTTGCTCCATCTGACCTTGTAGTACCTAATCCACAGCTCCCTGAATAAACAACTGGACTTTCTTTTCTTCTAAGGATATTCAGAGTATCGTGGGCTTTCTTCACTGTGTTTTAGTCAGTTCCTTATATCTTCTGGACTCTACTCCCGTTGAAGGAAGTCATTGAGAAGACATGACCACCAGCTGACCCATAAAATGGGCCCGGACAATCAGAGGCTCCTTCCCCACTCTCTTGTCCTTAGAATGTACATTTTCACCCACTATTTCTATACTAGGAATCACTTCAAGGATGAAGCCTTGAGAAAATCATGCGTTACTGAGACCATCTGGACTATGTATGTGACTGAATCCCATTAAGGATTCTCTATAAACTCTTAAGATTTTGATGGCAGATAGTAGAAATCTACTAGTCTTGCTCAGGATAAGATAAGCCTGGGATACCCCATGATAAACGTGGGAACTCCCAAAGTTGCTAACAAACACCCACCTTCTCCTAATTCCTGATGGACAAGAGGAGTCAATTCCATTTTGGCAACTGAATCAGTGACAAATGCTTTTTTTTTTTTTTTTTGCCTCTAAATGGACAATAATTTTTAGTTTTGGATGAGAGGCTTTCGGTACAAGGGTCATCTAGAGCAGGGAACAAGAGAACACAGTAGGTGAGGGAGGACAGTCTCTATATACTTGGGGCAAATGGGAGGCAAATCTCAATTGAATCAATACAGCAAAACTAGCTAAGAGGCAAGTGTCTCTGGTTCCCACTGAAACAGCCTGGCTGAGTCCTGAATGGTTCTGCAGGGAGGAGGAGGAGGATGGGAGTGACATGGAGAACAGAGCGACAGTCTGCGGAAATGGAGTGGACTTTGGTGTTGCCACTGGTTTCAAGGCTTGATTCCACCACTCAGCTGAAAAGCCCTTTAAGCACTCTGGGCCCCATTTCTCATCTGTAATTAAGGATCCCAACACATGCTTCTCGGAATGAAATGTCAAGTGGCCCGCAGGACAAGTGCCATTTCTTCCACCTCTGCTCCAGTTCTTCCTCCCGGGGTGTCCTCCATGTCTGTTCTTTCTGATCAAGAGCTTCATCTTTACAGGATACCACAGGCTTTTATTCAGCTGTCTTCTCCCTCCACATGAGATGTTCATTGTTAAGGAGAGTTTATTCTCTTACAACAGAACTATTTTTCTATTTCCCTGATCATTTGATGTGAACACCAACCAATCAGCATAGATATCGGTCACTATGCCATAGTCTTAATTCCCAAAGAGTATGAGTTGAGAAAGCCACATTCCATGGTCTTATGTAGGCCCCTTGGAGGACTGAATGAGCTGGTCAGAAGAGTCCTTGCCCTCCATTTCATTAGGTATGTTGTTCTTTTTTTTTTTTTTTT